ATATAAAATGGACTACCATGCAATAAATGAACAATCAACCACATAAATGGTATGCATCAATTTCACACAATGTACAGAACAAAAGAATACAGGCAAAAATGCTGTGTATGATTTCATTTATATAAAGTTTTGTGAAAACCAAAAGTAATCCATACTGCTAAATGTCAGAACGGTAGTTGCTTGCACCAACTGCGCTGTGAATGTATAAGGGCAAAGGGTATTTTCTTGGGCACTGTGTAATATTCTGGTTTCTTCACATGGTTGTGAGCGACACGAGTTTGTTCTGTTTCTGAAAATCCATTAAATAGTGACTAGTGTCTATATTTTACAATTTAAATAAAATGTAAACAAACTTTCTCAAGACTTCATTTTGCTCCCACTACACATCACACAGCTACCTCTGTTTTCTTTATGAACCGTTTCATTATATTGCATTTATCCATCTACTTCTGTTTCTAAACAATGTAAATTTCCTGTTAATGGATCCAAATCCAAAGGACAACACCTGCAAGTTAATGGGTAGTCAATTATATTCTGTAAGTGAATTTCTCAGTCTTTACATTATTCACTTGTCTGGTCATAATTCTTCCTTGTAGAGACTTAATGTAGTCAGGTATTCTTGAATATCTGGAGGAGCGAGGTCAAAACTATTCCTATTATGACTCTCTCATGTAAATAACAGACTGATGGAGCTATAACTTGTTATGACGGACTTATACTATTGTAATAATATGGGGAAAATCAGTTGGGAGGGAGGTGATCTTGGGAGGGGGGGATCCTAGACCCTACATAATTGCACCACGAAATTCAAACTAAAATAAAATAAAAAAGAATCACTTATGCATATATGTTTCCATTAAAAAACACAAATACAAATCAAGTGTTATTTCCCTTCTTGTCAAGATGAAGGGTATAAATGTTAAGAGTAGCTCAAAAACAGCCTCTTTCGAATAATGCAGGGAAAACCAAGATCTGCAAGGCAAATTTACAGAGAGGAAAGGACAGAGAGAGAAAGAGGTTTTCAGTCTGCTAGCTTAGTCTCCAAAAGGTGCAATGGCCAGAGCTGAGCTGATCCAAAGACATGAGTCAGACACTTCCTTCAGTTTTCTCATGTGGGTGCAGGGACATCTTTTGCTGCCCTCCCAGGACACAAGCAGAGAGCTGGATTAGACGTGGAGCAGTCAGGGCATGAACCAGTGCATATATGGGATGCACTGCAGGCAGAAGCCTGGCATACCACCATGCTTGTTCATGTATTCAGTATTTTTACTTTTAAAAAGGACTCTAACAGCGATGTATATTTATAATTCTAACTATAAATGATTTTCCAAGGATATGTGTGTATATATATACATATATATATATATATACATGAGTAGATGACTGACTCAAATTACAGAGGTTCAATACATTTCTTCATGTAAAATATTTAAAAGTGACTATTCCATAAGAAAAGATTAACTATCAAGCATTAGCTCTGGGGAAGAAAAAAGCCCTCACAAAGGTCCCATTAACACTATTAGAAAAAGACATATTTGTTGCATGAACTTCATGCCTTTGATTTGGGGTGCGCATATGAGATTGACCCCTATAGTGTATGAGCAATAATGTAATTGAATATTATTATGTTAATGGAAATTGGGAAAAGAAAAAGTTATTGGCTTATATTTAAAATGTATCAAAATAATATTGCTAAAACGTATATCTGACCTTACCAAAATGATTTCCTCATAAGCAGCTCCCTAAATTCTTCATTATTACAATTAGATTTTCACAAGTATTGAGCCAAAAGAAAGTGAACAAAAAGAAAACAGTTTATAAAAGAAACAAATTTGCCAAACTTAATCTGATTACTCATCTACATGCTAATAAAACAGGAACTTTTTAACTTATTAAATTGCTAAGTTGAAATAATGATGTGAAAACATATATTCTTTTAAGTGAAAGGAATTCTGGTAAGCATTGGTTCCTCTAAATGTGAGCTGGTTTCCTCATCTCAGTCATCATCAATTAAATAGAGCCTTTCAAATGCCTAACTTCTTTTTTTATAGGTCTACATTATTTCATTTCAAAGACATGCTATGAATCTGTCCTAAAATTGGTCTTTAGAAACATTTAAACCTTTTTCAGTATAACTTCTATTCTCTCTCAATCATCTAAGATGTTTGTCATTTTAACCTCAATTTTCCTTTCACTCTTTTGAATTTAGGGTTTTCTGATTCTTAGAATGTGTTTCTAGAGCCTTTCTAAAATTTCATAATTTCTTTTGCTCATAATATAGTATTTTGAACTTGGCCATTTTGGCATATTAATTATGCAGTTTCTCTTATCTGTCTAGTATCAATTTAAATTTCTCTAAAATAGACAAAAGTATTAAGGGCTACCAAATTCACTTCTAGTTATACTAATCAAGAGAACTGAAATAAAGCTTGAACAAATGTTTACAGCAGTATTACTGATAATAGTAAAAATGTGGAAACAACCCTAATAGTTCACCAACAAATCAAGTAGTACATAAATTGTGGTCAACAAACATAATGAATTACTAATTTTAAACAGGAATAAAACTGTGATATATGTTACAAGGACAAAACCTGAAAACACTGCTGGGCGAATAATGCATAGAAGGCCAAAAGCTGCATGACTATCCTTTTTAAAAAAGAATCCTTAAAAGATTCACGGAAAATGTGTATGATATAAAAATTTCCCATCAATTAAAAGTGTTTTGGACCCAAACAAGCCTTTTAGTTGCATTTCCCCATGAATTTTCCAAAGTACCTGTGCATGAGTCATCTAGTATACGCAAATTCATACACTCAGACCTGTTAGAATTTAACAGTACTGAGGGAGAGAATAAGGGGGAAATTCCATGCAATGAATACAGATTTTCTATTTGGAATGATGAAAAAGTTCTAGAAACAGTAACGAGAATTAGTATTAATGTCACTGAATTCTTAAAGTGGTTAAAATGGCAAATCGCTACACGTCACACTTTTTTTTAAAACAAAATCTTCTAAAGCACTTTGTTGACTTTTCTAGAGCAATTTTTTTTTTTACTTCAACCTGCCAAATTTTATTACTGTTATTAAAAGGCAACTTGAAAACAACTTTTTCCATATTTTTTACCCATACTCCCTAAATTGGTCATTCTCCCTTTAACTTTCCCCTCCTATATAATAATAAGATAACATTTAATACGGTATTCAGCATTGTCCACACTGAAACACATGATGCGGTGGGTTAATACACAGGGGATACTTCACTTCTATGCTTGGATGTGTGCATGTGCTCACACGTATCCTGCTTTACATTTTTTCCTTAGGTTCTTGAAAATTCTATAACATTTTTTTCTCTCTTGTGTTTGTACCTTTATTTAAATATAAATAAAACTACATACCTTAAAAGCAAGTAATTTTACATTCAAGCTATTTTTAAATGCCAAGTACTCTGCTAATAATTAAAATATTATTTTAATATTCAATTATCAATATCAATTTCAAAAGATTACACCATAAAGGAAAAGGCAGTTTAAAAGGAGGGAAAGATAAACATGTCAAAAGGATCTCTAAAGAACTGATATTATATAAAGTATCAGGAGGCTGAGAAATGATATTCTCAAAAGAAAAATGGAGCAGGGTTGAAAGCTACTTTAATCTGAACTACAAAGAGCTGTAAGATCATTAAACTTATTATTTTTCAAGATGTCATTTTTAAAGTTTCAAAAAATTCTATGGTCTTTCTAAAAAGGATAAAATTAAAACAAGCAAGTTGCTTTCAGGAAACACTGCATAAACAGAAAATAGATTAGAAAGCAAATGTAGTATATGGAAAACTAAAAGATCTTATACATAAGGAATAAAACGTACCTAAGATATGATATAAAAAGATAAAAGCCAGTATGATTAATGATTTAGGAAAAAAATCCCTAAATAAAGAAAAGAATGTGAACTCATTAAAAAAACAAAAACAAAGAATGGGTGGTGGTACTAGGTTTAAAATCTCAGTTTAGGATAAACTGGACCAGGCTGTTATGGCAAAGCATTTCCTATTTCTAAAACAAGTCTGGACAATATGCAGGCAAATTTTCCTTGGAAGTTAAAATCTGATCAGGATTACAAGACAACAGAAGAACAATGCCAGTGACTTATTAGATGAAAAGAATTCTAAGGGAGGCACGGGCCAATGAGTAGGTGGCAGGTTCATAGGAGATGGACGTGTCTCACATAAATGAATGGGGCAGCCATGGCCAGCACATAGGCAGTAGTCAAGCAAACTCAGTCAGCAATCCAATTGAGGGGGACCAGGCAAGTGAAAATAGAGAGAAGAAATGCTAACAATCTGTACCTACATACAACATCACAGGCATGGATCGCGCAGGGCAAGATCAGGCAGGCAGAGAGCAGTGCACTTGGGAGTCCAAAGTATAGGGGAATGGTTTGAGAGCAGAGACAATGGTGGGCAGTCTAAAACGGGCATGGCGGTTATCAGGTCATCTGCTGATGGACACAGCACTAGTGAGTGAAGAATGTAAATTGCTCCATAGATGAATTAGGTGAGGCAAAAAGTAGAGACAAAATCCAAAGGCACTCAAGCAGGAAGACAGAACCATAGAGAAGCAATGACAGATTATCAGAGGCAGCTGGGCGGTGTGGTGACAAGCTGTCAGCAGAGGAATAAAACACCATTCAGGAAAAGAGAGAGGTTGAGAATGAAGCAGTCTCCTGAACTGGGTGTCTTCCATCTAGGAATTGGTAATCAATAAATTGCAAATGAGAATCCACAGGAGAACAGCACACAAATGGAAACAGCAGATGGATCTGAACTCTACAGCCCAGGGATACAGAATGACCCTAGAACACAGATACATAACAATCCACAAGGAAATTAAACAGATGGGAAAAATGAGCCCAAGCATTTTTTTTCATGATGATAAAAGAAATCAAAAACACTAAAAATTATTAATCTGGAAATGATTGGCTGGGATTGAAGTCTTCGCTTACCCCTTTCTGGAGCCCACAAAATGGGAATGTTGGGAATTTCTGCAGCAGAAAAACAGAAGAGAAAAGGGATTTCTGACTCCCAGTTTGAGGAAAGCAGGTCAAATTTAGGGCTGTGTGACCTGGTTCGAGGGAAAAAGAACCAGGCTGAACCATCTCCCTTCCTCAGAATCAAGCCCTTCTGAGGTTTGGGAGAGGTTTAGGAAGCCCGCACCCCATCAGTTCCCACAACCTCCCCTTTCACACTTACCTCCAGTGCAAACAGATTCCAGCAAGGAGGTACTTGGGAAATTTAACTCTTATGTCTACATCATGGCAAAATCTGAAGGCAGACAACTAATAGTACTTTCTGTGAAGGTGAGGGGACAGATTGCTAGAAACTACCTACCTCTTTGAAAGAGGGTGAAGAAAGAGTCAGGGGGCAGTAACACCAATCAATACATAGTAATACCAGCAAATAACTTGGTAGTTCCATAAGTGTCATGGATTTTAATTCCATTAATATATTCACAACTCTAAAATTTGTAATCCAATTATTCTCTCTGAATCACTAGATGTGATTCAACATCTGCATTTAGATACACAGGGCAGTTAAAGTTTCCATGACCAAAGTAAAACTCTGCGTCTTTGGTTTTCCGGTCAAAATGTAAGCCACATCCAGTCATGCCTCTGCTCCAGTATGGTGCATTCCAGAAACACAGAAAGGAGTTACCATAACACCACGGTTTCTGCCGCCTACTCCCCTACATCTCTGCTCAGATTTCATTTAAGCAATGTTCTCATCCTTAATGGTTGGCCATATTTAAAATTGCAAATCTTTCCTGCCTGTACTACCCGCCCTCTATCCTTGGTTTACTTTAATTCATAGCACTTATATCCAACAATACACATTTTACTTGTTTTCTTATGTCGGTATTCGTTAAGGTGTAAAGTCCATAAACGGAGGTAGGGATTTTTGATTCTGTTTATTTCTGTGGTCCCAACCATTCCTATATTTGTCAGGTTTGAGTCTATACAGCACTAGTTTTTTGTGGGGTTTCCCTTTCTTTACCTTAAAGTTTCAAACATTTCTCCTCCGTGCCCACAAATGATGAGCAAATCACTGCAAGATAGGTGTGTTTTAAAAATCATCCCACCCATGGGCCAAATCCTGCCCACTGCTGATTTTCTGATCTGGCTTACAATTTAAAAATAATCTTTACATTTTTATATTATTTTAAAAAAAGAAAAAGAAGAATTACAATTAATAAAATGTAAAATTACATAAACTACAAGTTCAGTCTCCATAATACAAGTGTTCCTGCAGCACAGCCAGTGCTGCCTTTGTGCTAGAGGGCTGGCAGAGTCGAGTGGCTGTGACATACGTAGCCCATGAAGCCTAAGGCATTTCATATTTAAAGGGAAAGTTTGAAAAAGGCGAATTAGAACCTACTGTTATTATGTTTGTTACTATTTTTGAAGGAAACTGGACACTGCAATTTGCTTTCATTATATAAAAGCAACCCTCTGGTTGCTCTAATATAATTTATTTCTGACAGTGAAATTCATTCCTCTACTCCACGCAGCAGCCCATCTTAAAAGATAAGTGATAGGATTGTTAACTCCTAATATATGGTCAAAGGGAGGGAATGAGAGAGGGAACAGTGCTCACAATGGACTGCCTCACACAGTATAACATGAGTAACTGCAACTGCTATGGTGTGCATCTCTTTTTAGTCTTATCAATGGAGTTATTACTAAAGTAACCTTATTTCAGTAGGTAGGGTTGTTAATATACCACAGTATGAAATCATCATAATTCTAGACATTGTAAGACTCTGTTATGCTTACATAATACTAAAAACTATTTTCTCATTGATTGAAATATCTATAGCTTTTAGGAACAGTTCAAAATTTGTATCTTATAGGTAGAGACAAACATACATATATCTATATACATCTATCTATCTATCTATCCCTGTATCTATCTAGACAGAGAGTGAGAGATGCTCCCATTTTTTGGTTTGCTCCTGAAATGCTCCTGATGTGTGAGGGCTGCAGCTGGGAAGTGAGAACTCAATCCAGGTGTCCCATATAGGGAGCAGGAACCCAATTCCTTGACCCATCACCACTGCTTCCAGGGTGTGCACTGACAGAAAGCTAGAGTCAGGTGCTGGAGCCAGCTACCGAAGCCACACATTCTGAGAAGGGATAATGGTATTCCAGTTCTAACCCAGGCCTAAGCCAACAGGCCAAATGTCTACCACAAATTTTTAAAATTTGCAAAACTTTATTCAAAATAATTTCTTAATCGAAACTGACTTAGATTTTTCTCCCATAAAAATTTCACACTAAGGACTACTACATGCAAAGATACATTATTTGCTGATTCAAATCAACAGAAACTTGTGAAGTAGCTGATGGGAGACAAATTATCCTAATGGCATCTACCATGAACATACTATCTTCATTCTTTGTTGAACAGAATAATTTATTTTCTTTTATATGAGTTCCTTCTAGTATAATCAACTATTTCCTTTGCATTTTTGCCTGTGATCCTTGGTCTCTCTCCTCCCACCCCCCTCAGTGAAGCTGACAACAGTTATCCTAAAACATCATACTTTTGACAGCTTTACGGTTTCTTTTTCTCAACACCTTTTGAAACCACTTGGATTGCCTCTCAAAGTTCTCACCTGTACCTCATTAATGACGATTTGAAATGATGACTCCCTCCATCCTGTAACAGTAGCCATGCTCTTTCCAGGTTCCCAAGTAAGTGACGGTGATAAATTTATTATACTCATTCTAAATTATTTATTTGACTCTACCTTCTGACTCCGTATCAGTTTACCTTATGGAAGACAATGACAATATTCCGCCCTCATTTATACAGTGATGTTATCTTGAAAAGTTCACAGTTTTTAATAGACATAAATTCACTTAATAACCCCTATATTCTTGTGAAAAAAGTTATTCTGTAAATGATTATCTAATACACAGAGAAATATTTCACATTCTTGATTTCAAATGATGATAAAGAAATAAATATTATGAAATTTTCTTTTCTATATTTCTAGATAAATCTGCTTACAGAATTTATACCTGTAAGATATTTAAAGATATCGCTCAATCAATGTCTTAACATGTAAGACACTCCCTGTGCCTCCCCGCATCCCTCAGAAAGAAAAGCATCATGGTATGCCAGAGTCTTAATTTTATTAGTGGAAAATGAGTAGGAAGTGTGAGTTCAAGATTTCATTAATCTGACAAATTCAAGATATAGTAAGTACTTAGAATGTTCTTATCAATATTTCTTATCCACTCACATCTGTCCAGTTTAGGTGGTAGGGTTTTTGTCCCTTTTTAAAGACTGATTATTTACTTGAATGGCCTGCTCGAAGAAAGGGAGAAACAGCTTTCCTTTGTTGGACAATGCCAAAATGAAGCCAGACTTGGAACTACACTCAGAGACGCCACCACGGGTAGCAGAGTGTCCTGTAGGTCAGCAAGCCACTGTGGTCTTCCCACGTAGATCAGAACAGATGGCCCAGATGCTAGGGATGCTACCCCTGGGGAGAAGCAGAGCAGCCAGACTTGAACCTGCACTCTGCTAATGGGACACCAGTGTCACAGTGTCCTTTAACCTATTGTTTCTGGAAAAACAAAACTTTTTAAAGCGAAAGCTCTTCTTATTCATATTACAAATGACAGTAAATATTTATATGGAAGGTAAGTATTTTTTTAGTGCCTCAGTTCCATGCGTTTAAATAATACAACTGTTTATAAAACAAGAATTCTCTTCAAGTTACATGCAAGAAAATTGAGGTATGGAAAGTTAGGTTATAAAAAGCAAGAGGTGTATATGAGATTTAAAACAAACATCGTAATAATCTGTGTTCTTCATTACTAAATTATTTAGCTTTATATATAGTTGTCTAGACAATAACATTTTGTAGTTAGAAGTCCAACGGAAAGAGAACTTATCATAATTTGTATCAGTATTCATTTGTATGTTTACTCAAGATATGATCTTGCTTTGCTATGGGGCCACATAAAAGCAGACAACATACTTTGGTACAGAGTAGACATGCAACCAGGCATATAAAAAAATTGAAGAAATTTTTTTTTTTTAAAGATTTATTTTTATTATTTTTTCATTGGAAAGGTGGATATACAGAGAGGAGAGACAGAGAGGAAGATCTTCCGTCCGATGATTCACTCCCCAAGTGAGCGCAACGGGCCGATACTATGCCAATCCGAAGCCAGGAGCCTCTTCCAGGTCTCCCACGCAGGTGCAGGTTCCCAAAGCCTTGGGCTGTCCTCGACTGCTTTCCCAGGCCACAGGCAGGGAGCTGGAAGGGAAGCAGGGCTGCCGGGATTAGAACCGGCGCCCATATGGGATCCTGGGCGTGCAAGGCGAGGAGAAATTTTATTTGTGGGTTCTTCAGGTATGAAATTTTTAGTCTGGCCTTGTCTCAAAATTCTGAACTCAGCAGCAATGTAATTTTTCCCATTTACTGTTGCTACGTGGAATATGAATTGCTGCTGTTAGTTTTAATTGTAAAGTCATTGATTTCTATAATTATTTATTTAGATAGTTTAACTTTAAATTTTCTACTATTCCCAATATACAATGAGGCTTTTCTTTTTAATACTGAGAGTTTATGTCCTACATGGTTACGACTGGTAGAAAGAAATGAATTTAAGTTAATACAAAACTAAGAAGATTTAAGAAAAAAAATACAGTATTTCTTCTCAGACATGTTCATAAAAAAGAAATTAACCTCTGGGTCACTGTTATGGTAGAATAAGGGCAAAAGTAGAAACTGCAAGATGAAGGGTCAGGTGCAATGGCTCAATATCATCTTGGACATGCTGGGATCCCATATGGGCATTTGTTAATGTCCTAAGTTGCTCCACTACCCATCCAGTTCCCTGCTTGTGGCCTGGGAAAGCAGTAGAGCAGGCCAAACCCTTGGGACCCTAAACTCATGTGGGAGACCTGGAAGAAGCTCTTGGCTCCTGATTTCAGATTGGCTCAGCTCTGGCCTTTGGGGCCATTT